AAATCCCAACCATTGACCCCAAATCCCAACCATTGACCCCAAATCCCAACCATTGACCCGTACCATGATTGTTGACCCAAATCTCAACCATTGACCCCCAATCTCTGCCCCGTTCAGCCCCTGTGGCTCCTCTGCCGCCCCTCCGGCTTCACCTTCGGCGACTACTCCATGCAGTGGGTGCGCCAGAGCCCCGGGAAGGGGCTGGAATGGGTCGCTGGGATCTACACTGGTGGTAGCACCTACTTCGCGCCGTCGGTGAAGGGCCGGTTCAGCATGGCCAGGGACAACGGGCAGAGCTCGGTGACGCTGCAGATGAACAACCTCAGGGACGAGGATTCCGCCACCTATTTCTGTGGCAAGGCTGGTGATGCTGATGGGAATATTGCTGATGATATCGACCCCCTTTGTGGGGTCCCCAAAGCTCCCCAGACCCTCCCCCCAAAGCCCCGCCCCTCGCACCCAAATCTGAATTGTTGATGCCAAACGTTGACCCCGAATTTAGACAACTGACCCAAAATCTCAACCCTTGGTCCCAACCTTGACCTTTTGCATAGATTGGGGTCAACAGTTGAAATTTTGGGACAATGGTAGTGACTTTGGGTCAATGGTTGAGATTTGGGGTCAATGGTTGAAGTTTTGGGTCAAGGGTTGTGATTTGGGACAAAGAGTTGGTGTTTGGGGCCAAAGGTGGAGAATTTGGGGCCAAACCAGCCCAAGGTCTGGAGCGACGAGCGAGAGCTGGGTGTGAAGGGGCGGAGCTTTGGGGGGAGGGTCTGGGGAGTTTTCAGGAGGTTTGAAGACCCCTTGAAGGGGCTTGGGGAAACCACCGGCATTATTGCTCCAACCACCAGCAAAGTTCCTGGCACAGAAATAGGTGGCGGAATCCTCGTCCCTGAGGTTGTTCATCTGCAGCGTCACCGAGCTCTGCCCGTTGTTCCTGGCCATGCTGAACCGGCCCTTCACCGACGGCGCATAGGCGGTCCAACTACCATCATAGCTGATCCCAGCAACGTATTCCAGCCCCTTCCCGGGGCTCTGGCGCACCCAGTCCATGGTGTGGTTGCCCAAGGTGGTCGTTGGTCCTTACCTTGTGCTTTGTTTGGCCCCAAATTCCCCATCTTTGGCCCCAAACCCCAACTCTTTGTCCCAAATCTCTGCCCTTGACCCCAAAGATCACTCATTGACCCCAAATGTCAACCATTGACCCCAAATCTCAACCATTGACCCCAAATGTCAACCATTGACCCCATATCCCAACCATTGACCCCAAATCCCAACCATTGACCCCAAATCTCAACCATTGACCCGTACCATGATTGTTGACCCAAATCTCAACCATTGACCCCCAATCTCTGCCCCGTTCAGCCCCTGTGGCTCCTCTGCCGCCCCTCTGGCTTCATGTTCGGCAGCTACGACATGATGTGGGTGCGCCAGAGCCCTGGGAAGGGGCTGGAATACGTTGCTGGGATCGGCAAAAGTGGTAGCACCTCCTACGCGCCGTCGGTGAAGGGCCGGTTCAGCATGGCCAGGGACAACGGGCAGAGCTCGGTGACGCTGCAGATGAACAACCTCAGGGACGAGGATTCCGCCACCTATTTCTGTGCCAAAGCTGCTGGTGCTGCTCATTGGGGTTATGCTGATGCCATCGACCCCCTGTGTGGGGTCCCCAAACCTCCACCCCTCCCACCCAAATCTGAACCGATGATGACAAACGTCAAACGTTGAACCCAAATCTTGATCATTGACCTGAAATCTCAACTGTTGGCCCCAACCTTTACCTCTTGCAGAGTTTGGGGTCAAGGGTTGGGATTTGGGGTCAGTGGTAGAGATTTGGGGTCAATGGTTGAGATTTTGAGTCAATGGGTCACATTTGGGGTCAATGGTTGACATTTGGGGTCAATGGTTGGGATTTGGGGTCAAGGACTGAGATTTGGTGTCAACAGTTGAGATTTAGAGTCAACAGTTGAGGTTTGGGTCAACTGTTTGGATTTGGGATCAGTTACCGAGATTTGGGGTCAAGGGCTGAGATTTGGGGTCAAGGGCCCAGATTTTGGGGTCAGCGGCTGACATTTGGACCACCCCACCGGCACCGCCCCGGTTGTAGCCGGAATAGACGCTCTTGGCACAGAAATAGGTGGCGGAATCCTCGTCCCTGAGGTTGTTCATCTGCAGCGTCACCGAGCTCTGCCCGTTGTCCCTGGCGATGCTGAACCGGCCCTTCACCCACGGCGCGTAGGTGCTGAACCCGCCGTCCTTCCTGATGCTGGCGACGAATTCCGGCCCCTTCCCGGGGCTCTGGCGGGCCCAGCCCATGTCGTAGTCGCCGAAGTTGAAGCCGGAGGGGCCAGGGAGATTGGGGGGGGAGGGGTGTCGAGGGTCGAGGTTCGGGGGTCGTGGTTGGGATTTGGAGATCAGGGATTGAGATTTGGGGTCAATGGTTGGGATTTGGGGTCAATGGTTGAGATTTGGGGTCAATGGTTGGGATTTGGGGTCAATGGTTGAG